TGCAAGAGTGACCGCGTTCAGGCTCGGGCGGGCGGAAGCTGACCGCGAACATGCGCGTAGGTCAGCATATATGGTTTGCCTCTGACGTGCCCCCCTCGCCATCTGAGAGACAGGCGGGCATTCTTAGAAACCTGCCCCTCGGACCTTCAACACGACGCAGGCGGTGCAGTGAGGGCCGACACGGGCTGCGTGCTAGATCGGCAGAGCTGAACGGGTTAGACACACACACACACACACACATCTGGCTAATCCACGTCCAGGGTATCATCGAGCCCTGCATCTCCACCCGCTAGGTCGACGCCTGGACCTCGACCACGATTTCGAGGCTCATCGAAGCCGCGGCGGCGGCGACGAAAGGGCCCTCCTAGAGGGAAGGCCTTCCAAGAGGTCCACAGAGGCCCTCCGAGGTGCCCCGTGGAGTTGCCCGAGAAGTCTTCAGAGGACCCCATGGGGCCCTCCAGAGGCCTCTGGTTGGCCTCCAGAGGGGTAGCCAGAGGGGGGGGGGCTTGCCTGGTCAGGAAGCTCAGAAGGCCTCTGGCCTTCCCAGAAGCTTTCTAAACCTTCCCCAGAAGAACGGAGGGCTCATCAGAAGGCCAGAGGGCTTCTGAGAAGCCACCATGTTTTTTAAGAAGGCCTGTCTCTGCTCCCTTCCACTCGGCGCATCGTCGACTCTAGAGGCATCTGGAGGAGCAAAATCTGGTTCACGCGTGTACAGCAAATCGCTCAACGTCCAATGTCTCCAGCTCGCAGCAGGGCGCCCACTGCACAATTGCAGTGCCCTGGCTTGGCCAGGGAGGCATTTATCACTTATCCTGAGCCCAGAGATGGCCTGACCAAAATCAATGCACGTACGGCAAATTTGTGTCGTGACAACGTCGGCGTTGGTTTCAATACCGCGTGTACCGCTCAACCTTGAACGGTCGCGGCGTTCAGCTAGGGCGAATCGTTTGTTGAAGACGGCCGGTTCACAGCCACTGGCGGCGCTCAACCTAAAAATTATCGCGCTAAGGCCGCCGCCGCGTCGACACGACATGAACTCATCATCTCTGGAGAGCCGAAACAATATCAAAGTCACTCCAGCTGGACGAACCCATCGGCGAGCTACTTCCGGACAAGCACGAAGTGCTTGCACAGGGAGCGACTGCGTGGCACGTGCGGCCTTTGAGGGACGACGCGCGTGCCGCCGATACCTGTCACCCCCCCCCGAAGCGTAGACCCCAATTCCTCCGAGCACGTGGGCCTCCCCCCCGCTCTGCCCGCCGCCAGGAAGAAGCAGTGTGCGAAGGCATCCAAGCGGGCGCAAGGATCCCTCACGGGCTGCGGCGCGGCGGCCCCGCGCGCGAGTGCTGCTCCCCTCGTCCTCCTCTTTCCCGCCCCTTCCCCTCCCCTTTCTGCCCCTTCCCCTGATTTCGGGCGCTCGCTGACATTGGATGAGGAATCCGAGGGTCCGGCACGCGGGGATCGGGAAGATACCCCCGAATCATGAGATCACTGCCGTCTGAATTGGCGATGGAGGCCGCCGATTCTCTACGTGCAAGGCACCCACCGCAATACTATCCATCTTTGCGCTTCCTCTGTGATTTCGCACCAACTCTGACGGTCAAAAAGATTCAGTGCCATGGGAAAGGACGGGTGTGATGGGGTAGGATATCAGATATATGGGGATCTGGGGGGCGCGCGCACGTAGCTAGCCCCTCCTCCCTGCCGACCAGCCTCTCCCCCGCCATCCCAACCTCGCTTCCCACTCCCTCCCCTCCCGGAGACGCTTGGGCCCCCCTGGGACAGGAGCACCGTAGGAAACACCCGATCATTTCCTCAGGAGAGCCCAGAACCGAATCGATAAGTTGGATCGGCGATCGAAATGAATCCGATCGGAAGGATTCGGCAGCCGAATCGGGAGAAGTCTAATCGGCGGACATTGCAGGCGAGCAGTACGAAATCCGAATCCGAAATCGGATTGCAACCTCGAATCGAATTGGAATCGAAATCCATCATAATCGAATCGAATCGGAGGTCCTCGCGTCCCCCCCCTCCAGAACAGCGGGGGCCACTCTGGGCCAGGGACCTAAGGCAACACCCCATGCTCCCCTGCCCGGTCGACGGGGAGAGGCGCGCGCAGCCGAGGGCCCCCACCCCCTCCGTCCATGGCAGGTTCCTGTCGTGACGACCCTGGCATTGGTGTCAGACACCGCGTGGGTCCATCAACCTCGAACGATCGGCGGGCCACGGGCGGCGTTCAGCACTCACATCCGAAACATGGTCAGGCGAACGTGGGTGAAGAAGAAGAGCCCCTTCGCCGGAGGCCCAAGGCCAAATGCGGATGCCTGGAACGAAGGGCACTCCAAGGTGGAAAGCCCATACGCGATCCAGTCAGCATTAGCAATAAGGACGGAGTCAAAGGATGCAACGCCCTTGGAACGTGCCACAACATAACAACGAGCCGAGTTTCAAACAAAACAGGGATGCAAGGGACCCTAGCCAACCAACATCCTTGCCCCCCACGCGCCAAGACGTACCCTTGGGCCGGGGAAGCCGAAAACGTACCAAGGATGGCAAGATCAGGTGGATGCAACATGCCTTTGCGGATAGGACCCTCCGACGCTAGGACTGGTCTGAGCAAACGTGCCAGCCGCACAACGCGCCCGCGTGCCACTACCAAGGCCGTCCGCGGCGACACTGAGACCGAACAACGACCGAAACAGCATCGGAGCCAGAACCGACCGAAGCCCAATCGAACGAACGCCGCCGATGTGGACGCAGCGACGCAACAGCCACGCAACCACCGTCCGAATCGAGCCGACCACACGCAGCCGACCGCAACGCATCCGAGTCATCCGAAGCGTGAGCACCCCGGACTGCCCCCGCTCCCCTGTGCCCAAGGGCATCCTGCGGATACCGCCCGCTCCAGCTCCCGCCCGTGCTCGGCCCCATCCTCTCTTGTCGTCGTCGTCATCGTCGTCGTCCTCGTCATCGTCGCCATCGTCGTCCTTGTTCCTCGTCCTCGTCCCCGTCTTCGGTATCCTCCTCCTCCTCCTCCTCGTCGAGTCGGGCTATCAGTATGATGGCCTGTGCCCATGCTGTGGCAAGCCTGACTCTGTCTTTCACCGTCAATGGCTTTGTGATGCTCCTGAGGTGGCCCAGGCCAGACGCGAGCCGAGGCCATCTCACAGGACATCATTGACCAGGCTCGTGCCAGCCCCGCGGAGGGACATGCTTTCTGGTCACGCCTGATGATGGCCCAGCCTGGTCCTACGACTTTTCCCCTCCCTCCTCGTCGACGGACCCTTTGCTCCAGGATGGTGAAGGCAGGTCAGTCGCTCCAGGAATATGTTGAGAGGAGTGAGAGCTGCGACGTGGTCGTGGATGGCTCCGCCTCCCAATGTACGATGACCGATTTGAAACGTGCCAGCTTTGCAGCGGTTTTCCTGGAGCCTGGACCCGAGTACAAAGTTCGGACCCGCCTCATGGCCCCGATTTGGCCCTGCATGCACCAGACGCCGCAGGCTGCTGAAAATGTTGGCATTGCCACTGTTTGTGCGTTCGCGTCTGGGATGTCTACCCCCTACAGTAATTTCAAAGGAGCGGTTCGTTTGCACAATGCTACGGGCCAAGCCCAGCTTGGGCCCAAACACATGTTTGCTGGAGTGCGCCGTGCTGCTCAACAGGCCCCTGGTTTTGAGGCCGCAGGAGAAGCCCATTATACCCCAGCGCACCGCTCAGATGACATAATCCAGGCACTGCCCGAGGACCAGAGGCGAATCGCGCTGGGCAACCAGGACGCGGACCGTCTCGCAAACTTTGCCCTCTCGCTCCATCCTCAAGCTGCACCCGCTGATCTTGAGGAGCTGGATAGGCGGGTGCAGATCCTCCGCTCCTGTGCCAAGATGTTCGGGGCTGTCATGCCCCTTTTTCCGAAGCTTGATTTTGTTCGGCCTCCGAAGGCCGCCCGCCTTCCCCGAGTGAAACCCCGTCCGACTGGCATGAGTGGGAACAGCTCGAGGGAGGCGATTTCAGATGTGTGCGTTGTTTTCTGGTGGCTTTCGCTGGCAACGACCGACCTCTGTTGGGGTGCGCTGGTCTGTCGACGGCCCTGCGGCGCCTCGAAGGTGCTGAGTCGGTCCGTTTTCCGCTCAGCCGTACCCAGAAGCCTCTGATTTTCTGCACCAAATGCGGTGCGTACACCTCCCGCAGGTGTCACTTGCTCGGCCAGATATGTTCCGAAAAGCCGGGGGCCTCAGGAGAAGGTGCCCTTAAGCGGATCGGCGACGGCCTCCACCGTTTCCACAGACGGGATCCCGAGGGTGGTGAAACTGTTTCTCGAGCACCGCCCAAGACGGTGCTGCTTGCTCCTCCAGGCCCCGCTGCGGCAGGACGTTCGCGCCTCGTCGACAACGATCGATTGCGTGCACTCGCCGAGCGGATTCGGGCCAGAGAGGAGGCCGCCCGATAGTCGGCGCGGATCAGGGATGTTCTGCCTCAGGCTGCTCGCCCTCCTCCTCCTCGGCGCCGCCAATGGCACGCTGAGCGCGACAGGGACGGGATTCCAGCGCCAAAACCTCCTCTTCTTCAACGTTGAGGGGGAAGAGAAAGTAGGGAGGATGAGGAGGATGAGCAGGAGGAGCAGGGGCTTGCAGAGCAACCCGTAGTACAAATGCTAACAGATCGCAGATCGCAGGAGGCGGATGAATAGGAGGGGGGAGGAGGAGAGGAGGAAGGAGGAAAGGAGGGGAGGGCGGATGGAGGAGAGAGGGAGGAAGGAGGGGGGAGGAATGACCCCCGCGAACGACCGCGCGGCGACTGCATGGGAGCGGGAGCTCCGCCAGAGCATGCGCCTCGAACCTATAGAGATCCGACGTCTTGATTTGTCCATACGGGGCACAGGAAGTCGCAACCCTTTCCCCAGGGACGGTCTTCATAACAAATCGTACTTTGATGGCCCCAGGGCCTGGCGAGGGCCCCCAGAGGCAGAAAACGACGGAAGCGACTCCGCCTTGATCGTTGCATTACCGCTCCGACCGGCTCGCGGCGCGCGCGCCGCCTTTCTGCCTCGCCGACGGCCGTGCGGAGCGAAGAAGACGCGGGGGCGAAAGCACGCAGCCGCCGGCAGGCGAGAGAACGCCGCGGTGGCCCACCGCACGGCACACCTGCTCCGCAGGCCAGCGCCACCACGGCTGGCCCCAGCGGAGGGCACCACGGCTGGCCCTTGCGGAAGGCATCTCTGCAGCCCTGGTGGCGGCCGCGAGCTGCTGGCGCCGCCAAGGCGCGCGAGGGCGACGCACGCCGGCTGGCGCTCGGGGCGTTTGCGCGCGAGCGCAGACTGTCCCCGACGCCGGAGCAGCGGGCCCCGAGCAGCGGGGCGAGGCGCAGGCCTGCGCTCCTCAGATCTCCGACTTCCAATCAGGGCGTTTCTCTGTCTCTGTGGGCCTCACATGGGACCCCAGGTCGAAAAACTGGTCCTGGGGAAGGGATCGGGACACAGCCGCGGATTGAAACAACCAGATCGCCGGATGTCAGGGCCTGGAGTGCGACGCATCCTCCTCGCTCGACATCGTCGTCCCCATCCTTCTCACCCTCCTGCTCCTCCTCCTCCTTCTCCTCCTCCTCCTCCTCCTCCTCCTCCTCCTCCTCCTGCTCCTCCTCGTCCCTCGGCCTCCTCCTGCTCCTGCTCCCCAGGCTGATGCAGCGCCAAACAGTAATCCTGCTCTCCTACACCCCTACACACTTCTCCTCCGCCAAAACCTTCTCCATCGCCTTCACATTTTTGTCGGTTGTTCCTGCTACCACACCTCCCCCCCCGCCCCTCCACCTCCACATCCGCCTCGTCTTCCTCCTGCGCCGCCTCCCTCCCTTTCTCTCTCCCCCAGCCGCACCTCCTCCACCCTCGGCCTCATCCCCCATTCCTCCTCCGCCACCTCCCTCCCTCCCTCTCTCCCTCCCTCCCTCCGCCGCCTCCCTCGCTCCCCTCCCTCCCGCAAGGCGGCCAATACTCGTCTATTAACTTAGTCAAGTGGAATCTCGCGTAGAGCTCGCCCAGGTGTTCGTACCTCGCACACCTCCATCTCACTCCCATCTCGGAGGAGCAGCAGCAGAAGGGCAAGCATCAGAGTGCGCAGGATACGTTTCAATGCGTCCCGAGGCGAGGCGCACGAGCGCGGGCTTGCCAACAATGATCTGCCATGCTGGAGTCTTTACAGGAGTGCTAGCTCACGCAGGATGAAAATGCTGGACTAGTTACTTCGCGAGGCTGGACACGAGGGCCTGCATCTAGCTACTTTAGCCCGCGTCCGGTGCTCCAGAATCCAAGTGGGACCACCATCCAGTAGAGGAAGGAGATCAGGACTTCCAGGATCCACCGGCCCTCCTCCTCAGCTAGACGAACACGCCCCTGACTTCCCGTATCAGCGGGAAGACGTGAAAGAATTCCGGGTATCCAGCATTAATTTGGAAATGTAAAAACGGTGGTAGCTGTTCTGCACTTGCCTTCTGGAGCAAAGAGAGCAGATGGTTTTCAGGAGTGTCTGGAATCTGCTACCCCAATGGCTCCGTATCAGGTGATCGCCATATCTCTGGATGTCCCCATCGATGCAGAGCTCGGCGACTGAAGGCAGCTTGAGGTCACTAATAGGTGGCTACGGTTTCTAGAATAGGGGGCGTGCTATCGGGGTCCTTGGAGGACCTCCATGCGAAACGTGGGATGCAATACGCTGGCATCATGATCGACAAGGGCTCCTGCGACTTCTTCCCCGGCCACCCGCCACTCCGCACGATTAAACATCTTTGAGGGCACCCTGATGTTACACTGAAACAAGAAAATCAATGGATCCACGGTTTCTTTCTGCTTGCTTGCAGACACACACACACAAACATAGGGGTTTGTCTTACACTGTATTATGTATGGAGCGCCTGAGATCAAGGAGCACCCAGAAAAAGCTACGTGGGAGCCTCGTGCTCCTCCTGGTTGGCATGCTCATTCGCCGCGCGCCCTTGCTGCACCACCTCGTTCACGTATAAAACCATTCGGTTCATGCATTTGTGGCCAGGCTTCCCGCTCGCCTATGCCCGTGCTCACTGTCATACTCCCGACCCTTGCTCCCAAGCTCCAGGCACGAAGCAATCAGGGAAGATCTGATCACGGGAGGCGGCTCCATCAGGTGCCCTCGGGAAAAGACGAGGAGGTGAAGTTGAGGACTGCTCCCCGAAAATCGGTATCCCAAAGACACGTGCAAAGAGATTTCAGACAACACTGTCGATGTCCTGGACTTCTCCTGGAAAAATGCCGTACCCGAAGAGGACAGTGTGTCTGAGGAGCTGGCAATGTTCTGTTGTACTGGATACCTACGTCGAGAAATCCGCGCACACTGCTCAGGACGATGCCCGGCTTCCCACGACAGCGAATCCATGACACGAGGTTCGATCTTCGGGTTCCCTCCTCTTGCCCTCCTGCACCCCCCAGACCCAAGTGATGAGGACCGAGTACCATCTTTCGTTCTCTCAGCCCCACACCATTCTCTCAACCCTACCGACGAGTCAGGCGGCGCCTGCCCTGTCTGGGTCCGGGCCCGTGCATTCTACCTCTCCCCATCCCCCTCCCCCCCGATCAGGGGGCGGAAAGGGCCAGGCTCACCAGTAGCCAACAGGAGAGGATTGCACGACGGCCGAGCCGAGGCCGCCCGCCGCAGAGTAGCCAAACGAGCTGCTCTGAGAAAGCTAGAGCTGGGGCAACTCCGGCTCACATTACGACGAGGCGGGCCCGGTCTCACAGGAGGAGGCTGGGGGCTTCACTTTAATGATAATGACTACCTACCAGACCACCCCAACCCAACCCGAAGACCCGAATTTGACCCGAATTTCGGGTTGGGGGGGGTACGGGCACCATGTGTTTTTTCAACGTTCCCCGACCCCCCCCCACTGGAAATGGAGGGCAAATTGAGGCCTTCGGGTTGGGTTGGGGTGGTTTGGTAGGTGGTGAGATAATGCTGCCGCCACTGTCTCCACATCGAGCAGTAGCCGTCATGGGTAAACTGCCTTCACTCCGATTCCGATCCCTCCAGCACTACCTCCTCTCCCCTCGCCCTCTTCCCCCCCTCATCCTCCGCCCCCCCATGGCCCCGCGCGGGTAGGCAGCAAAGGGCCCAGGGCCTCAGGGGCCGCCTCCCGCTCGCCTGCTCCCTGGCGCAGTGGCCGCGAGCGCCCCCGCGCCGGCGCGGAGGTCACTCCAGCACGATGTCCACCGGGCGCGCTGGGGCGCACGCGTGAGGCGCGTGAGAACGGCACGGACTGGGGCCCGAGCTTGCCGGGTGCGCGCTCGGCGTCAGCCTCGCCGTACTGACAGGGCTTTCTTGAGGGCCTCTGGAGCCGTCTCGAGACTCTCTTGGACCGTCTGGAGGCCATCTGAAACTCTTTTGGGGCTGTCTTGGGGCCATCTGAAGCCGTTTTGGGGCCCTCTTGGGCCATCTTGGAGCCCTTGGGCCGCGTCACTCGAAACTATACGAGGAAGCATGCCATGGGAGCCGCCCGGGAGCCGCTTCATTCGAGAAAAAACGAGGCGCGAGGGCAAGTAGACTGTTGTTCCCCCGCTAGCCCCCTCCCCCAAACCCCCTCCCTACAACGTCTCTCGCTCGTACCTCGCTCGTACCTCGCTCTTTCCGTCACCTCCTACATCGCGTGCTTTGCAGCCCAAGCGTTTTTCGTTACGTTTGGCTTCTCAAGGTCGCTTTCGGATCTACTCGCTAAAAAACGGTGAGGAGCAGGAGGGGACAACACGACGATCCAAAGAGTCTCATTGGTGTCTATCCCCGCAAGGTGCGTCACAAGGAAGTATTATTGCCGCATCCTTCGACGTCATTGCCGAACCGATCATCACCATACTCGCCATCCTCGTCAAGGGGACGCCGACACGGTGGCCCCACTGCACGGGAAGGGCGGGCGGCATCGGAGGCGAAGCCGGTGATCGCCAACTTCAGGAATCCACTGGTGCAGCCTCCACTCCACACGGCCAAGCAACGTCGGCACTCCAGCAGTTGGCAGGAAGGAGGGGCAAGAAGCATAGGAATTTCAACACATTTCATGCGATCAGAGAAATATCCACGATGCGCTAAAGACAAGGATCGCCGACGCGGCACAGACATGAGATAAGTATGAAAGGACCATGTGCACGAACAGCGGTCGGGGGTGGCGGCAAGCAGAGCTGACCTGATCCACACAGTCATTCGCGATTAACGGGTCCTTCCTCACAAGGACTTCCGCAGCCTCGTAATCGCGTGCAGCAAAAAATAGCATCCCGCCTCCACCAGGCTTGCCTTCTGAGCAACCATATGTGAGCCCCACCCCTGCGGGTCGAGTTTCTGAAACGCTGGCGGGGGGTCAGAACTTGAAGGATGTCTGCAGCCAAATGCGCCCCTACGAGGGGGTGCCCGATACCCCAACGTCGATCGGACCCGCAAGGGTAGGTTTCGCCAATGGCCGCAAACCTTCGGAGTCGACGCGGTAACCGCTGGTAACCACCGCGCCCTCTTCCCGCAAAGCCGCCACCCACGCGCGGTGTGCCTCTCGGCCAGGCGCAAGACTAACCCGAGGCAAGAGTGACCCTTCGTCCGCGGCTCGCGATGCGGTGTGGCAGCAGCGGTCCATGTGCTCGGGTGCTTCCCCCCTTCCCCCTGGCGCCCCCGCGAAAGCGGCGTACCAAAAGCTGATTAACCTGGCGAAGCGGGACTCTTGCGTGCAGCCGAGCCTCAAGGTGAGGCTTCACCTCCGGGATGGACAGAACCCCCGTCAGAGAAACGTGGTTTGGTGAAAACGACCTCGGGCCCAAACCTGGCGAGCGCGAGCCTGGAAAATGACGGCAGCGGCGCCCTCTCGAGAACCGGAAACGGACAATTCACCACAGTCGGACTTGATTGGACAGGACACGCGAGAGGACACAAGACCCTTCCGAGGGCCACGTTGCCATGGGAATGTAAATGTAGGAAGCATGGGTCGCGAGACTCAGGTCGCAAGGGTACCCTTGATTTGGAAGGGTCGACCTACTAATCAAGGCCGACTGCAATCGACGTGTCAGGGTGGGGGCTCTGTCCAACCCCGATCACCTCCGGGAAAGGCCGCGAGAAGGTCTCGGTCTTCACGAACCACGCGTGGCCCGCCGGCACGGCTGCGCGGGCCGCCCTCGCACAGCGCGCGGCAGGCGGCCCGCGCGGGGTGCCGCCTCCCCGCCGCCAAAGCCGCGAAAAAGCCCCAGCCCTCCCGAATCGAGTAGGAGATCGACTCTGGAATAGGTTTACCACAGAAATTTAGTATGTTCGTAGAAGCCATGAAATAACCGAAACGCGTCCCAGATTCAGGGAATAATATATGCATGCTCGTAGGTGATATGAAGAAAAAGTTCTGGGGCACTCCAAATCTGTAGTCGATCTCCCTCGAGAAATACCTGTCGCCCGCTGGCGCGGTTGCGCGGGCAACGCTCGGGAGGAGCAACAGCCCGGAGCTGTCTCGAGCTGGCGGCGCGCAGAAGGGGATGGGGCGCGACGCTCGAAGAGAGCGGCACCTCGATGGCTGCAGTGGCCGTCTTCGAGGGCCAGAGGCTTCTTGGAGGGCTCTGCTTACTTCAAAGGAGCGCAGGGGCACACATACACGCACACGCATAAATATACACAGATAGGTGGACCCGATATGTATGTATATATATATATATTATATATATATCCACATACACACATATGTGATGGATATTCGCCGCCCCCTCAGTTACCAACATTGTCGTATATGTTCATGGACACCTCCGCTTATGTGTGTCTGCATGTTTCCCCTCCTGATACCTGGAGCCTCAGAAAGAATGCCCTCTGCCTTCTCAGGAAGCTTCTGCCCCCTTGAAGGGCCTCAAGCACAGGCCTCTGAGCTCCGAGAGGCCCCCTGCTGCTCTTCAGAAAAACAGGAAGGCCTCACAGAGGCCTCACAGAGGCCCCCGCCCTCTGAGAATGCCGCCCCCATGTTGGGGTAACGAAAAGGCACCGCCACCACTATTCCCTGGACCTCTCCCGGGGCGCGGCCTGACCAGAATTTCGATTCGAACCCGGCCGTGGCGACGAAGGCCCCGCAGGAGGCCCCAAAATGTGACCACGAGGGAAGGGTAGCAACACAGAATCCGAACCCAACCCCGCCGATTCTCCTGAAACGATGGGGGGCGGAGGCTGGGTTCGGCTTTCCCCACGCGGTCGACGACCTCCGAACCGCATCCGCGCCGCCGATGGCGTGGCCTGCATCGTGGATCGGCCAGGGATGTCCCCGCGGAGGTCTCGGAACTCGCCGCGGAGGATCGGACTTTCTGCGCGCCGCCGACCGCGACCCAGCGGGGCCAGCCCAGCAGGCCCCCGCCGCCCGCCCGAGCCCGCCTCCCGCCGCTGCCCGTGAGGCCGCCAGCGCGATCAGGGCGGCGGGCAGCAGCAGAGCCACCCCGAGGCGGCAGCACTTTGCGCGGCGGCGCCCGCGCGCGGCCCGCATGCCAACGAGGCGCGCCGGCGCCGAGAGGGCCTCGCGCGGGCCTGTTGAGCACCCCGGCGCGTGAGGGGCAGGGGCAGGGGCAGACGTGAGCAGAGGTTCGTGAGCAACTCCTGGAACGTCTTTGCGTGAAACACTTAGGGATACAAGGCCCGTATCTGGGGCAACTAATGCGGACGGGGCCCACGATTGAGCCAGAAAGGCGGTAAGAAGCAGGATTCGATGGGATTTGGCAAAAGCTGGGCGGGATTATGCCCGTGTCGACCACAGATATATCGAACGAGAAACATACCCGTGTCCTTGCCAAGACAGGGTGGCAAAGAGCGAGGAAGGGGGACTCGTCGCTGCTGACAGCAAAAGCAAGTGTACAAGTGTAGATGCGACGCCCGATTGAACATTATAGGGCGCTGTCTTCTCCAGGCACATGTTGGCACCGATTGCGCGTGCGTTCGAATCGGCGGAGTGGCCGATTCCACGTTGGTCGCCGTCGAACTATACCAGCTAATTCGGAGGTGCGCCTCCAGAGGCACCTGCCCAAGCATTGGGGTGTCAACGCGCGCCCGGGGGCGCATGCGAACAATTCTGGCACGAACGTCAACGCGCGACAACCGCCCAATCGCGAATTGCTCGATGCAGAGGGATCACGACCCAAAACGCTGGGGGAGGTTGCCAAAGGCCACGCGCCTTTGACAGCCCTCCGAGAATAACCCCAGCTAGGTCTGCGTATGCCATGAAAACCAAAAGTATACCTACCTAGCCGAAATGTCCCAGAAACACACCAGCTAGGTCCGGATATGTTTGCTGAGCTCAGTCGCGTGCGCGTGCCTAGCCGCTGTGGCGGCACGCCCAGAAACGCTCTCGAGCACATCTCATGCGCCCCAGGGCCGCCTCCGACGCCGCCTGTGCGGCCCCTTGAGGGGCGTTACGTTGAAACGTCGCTTCTCAGGGCAAGCCCAGAAGTCGCTTCTCAGGGCAAGCCATGACGCAACGTCTTCCAGGATAGCGGCGAATGTCATGTCTAAAACAAATAAAACATGCGCCTCCAATCCCATGCAGTTTTGACACGCGAATGCGCCGAGGTGCCACCAGACGTCCCTGGCAAAAATCAGCGCTTGTGGCTGAAATCGGACAGCCAGCCGTTGAACACGCCGCCTCGTCTCGACGCGCGGATGCTGCGCTGGCGCGCGCGGGGCAAACTCATCGGGCACAATGGCACGCGCCCAATCCCACGGGCGGTTCATCTCCCCCTGGCCGACCCGGGATAAAGGTATGTTTCGGACCAGTGTCGGGTCGGGCGAAAGGGGGGGATAGCAAAGGGGGGGGTTGAGAATCAGCTCACGTAGCTGATTTTCCCGGCGCCTCCCGGCGCCGAGGCGGCTATGTCTCGAGGAATGGGCCCCTCGGTGAAGGCGAAACCAGCTGCATGCAGCAAATTGCGTACCCCCCCCTTTCCCAATCCCCCCCTTTCGCCCGGCCCGACAGTGAGGACAAGCCAGCGCCGATGCCGAATTGCACCACGGGGCTATACCTCTGTCGACCACGGATGTGAATCACGAACGTCCACTCCTAAGGAACGCCCACGACTTCTGGAGCCCACGTCTGCGGCGAGAGCGCCCAGGGACCTCGGATGATCAGAGCATCTTCAGGGCGCGACGCGCCAAGACCACAAAACATCAAAACTGGTGCGCCACAGAGTTGCCCAAGCAGACTCATACCTTCGGCATGGAATAAAACGCTGTGCTTCTCAACTTTCGGATCGCCAGCAAAATGCAAAACAACTCGCCGGCGCCCACGACCCCAACAGAGGGATCCGACGAACAACATATGGCGACAAAAAGCAACATGGCTACAACAAGCGGCGACATTCACGACATCATCCCGCGACGCTAGGAAACGCAAAACCAAACGCAGATAAAATACATGGCGCGCGTGACTAAAACAATCGTGCTATCACTTGCATTTACACCCCAAAGACCGTGCCGTAATTTCCGAAACGCGACCTGGCCGCCGCCCGCCTCGAAGGACGGCGCGAATGTGGCCCCTGCCAGGTGTGCCACTGGCCCAATAGGGGCCCGCAAGGCCCCAATAGCATCCATGCCAATGCCGGGGGGTAACTCGAAGCCGCCGAAACAAATCCCCCAACAAGCGGCCCTGGAACACTCGGCGCGGATCTGGAGGGCTCCATGAGAGCCTTCGCAGGGCCGCAATGGGGGCTCCAAGACGGGTTCCTCTGACGAAGTTGGAACCTTGAACTGTCCTGCCCACTCGTATCAGCCGATCAAAGCAAACCGAGTCTCTTCGGTGACTGTCATCAGACACACATTCTTGAATATGAACTCGTCTTCAAAGGAACAACAAACGATACGCAACCTCTTGCGTGATTCAGGGGCCCCCCGATCAATAAATGGCATCGGCATGAATAGCACGACAACTGCACATGGATACTGCCTGGTGCTAGTTTGCGACAGCCGAAGGCATCGCGCGTCAGCAGGCGCCGAAGGGGAGCAGAAGCAACGCCGCGCCCGCCGGCGGCGGGTCCAGGAGAAGGCGGCCAATGACGGGCGGCCAACGAAGCTGCGCACTGAACAAACAAAGAAAGAATCGTTCGGATTTTCGTCGCTGCGGGTCCGCCGCCGACGACTCGGGATGCCAAATCAGCCCTCGGAAAGAGGCCAGGACTTCGGGACCGCGCAATGAAAAAAAAACACACAAAGGCATTCGATGCCTAGAGACCTACGCTGCAGTGGAATACCACCGTGTACGCTCACACCTCGGACCAGCTACGGGCCTAGGCGCTGCAGAGAACAGCGAGGGCCGCGAGGGCCTTCCCGAAGGGTGAGCGCAGCAGCAGAGGCGGGAGGAGAGGGAGAGAAGGGGATAGAAAGAGAGAGGAAGAGAGAGAGAGAGAGAAAGGAATGAAGGGATGAAGACCGCGCGTCAATGCAAATACAAACGGCTCAACGTCACGGGATGTGGGCGAACATAGCAAGATGGCCCTGAAAATCGCCACGGCGGTCGGACCTGTCGCCGCCATTGTCCTTAATTCAACGGGGGGCCTTCTCCGTGACATCGCGCCGCTATTCGCGTCGAATCCGCGTCGAATCATCCACGTCGTCGAACGACGAATCCGCGTCGCATTCACGTCGGATCCGCTTGGAGCGACAAATCCGCGTCGCATTCACGTACGATCCGCTTGCACAAAAACTTCAACGCAGCCACTTCCCTGCGTTCTGGGAACAGCTCGCAATCGAGAGGGCCGCGCGGGATGCCCTCTGGAAAACTATCGGCGAGGGGAAGGCATCGAGCTGGGTCCAATGGGCCGTAGACCTTCAAACATCGCCGAACACATCTCAAGAAATCCTGAGATCTTCCAACCAAATCTCAATGCATAAAACAAATGATACCGGAGCTATCGGGGTAGGGGGGTATTGAGCTATAGGGCTATAGAGCTATACAGCTATAGAGATGTAGGGCTATAGGGCTATAGGGCTATAGGGCTATAGGGCTAAGCACCCCCGGGCACCCGGGCACCCGCGGGCACCCCCAGGGCACTCGGGCCCCGAGCACCCTGGGGCACCCGGGCACCCGGGCGTGCAGCGAAAATCGGCGAAAAACCAAATCTAACCATATGAATCCGCTAGGATCCCTACAGAGGCAAGCTCTGATTGGGGAATCATTCAACCTCGATCGACCCCCACCCAGAGAACGCGAGGCGGGATACCCAGGGAGCAACCGGCACACTCTTGGCCTGGCGGCCGCGGTATGGAGTTGCCATTCGTTGAAGGTACGAGGCGGGATACTCAGGGAGCAACCAGCAACGCGTAGGCCTGGTGGCCGCGGTATGCAGGGTGCGCGAGTCGGGAGCTCACTAGAGTTTCAAAGAGCTTTCAAGTTTCAAGAACTCTCACGACCCAGCTCCACGCTTCTCGCGGTCACCCTCGCTCTCGCAGCGCTCCTGGTGGACAAGAGCGACTCTTGGGTTAAAGAGGGGGGGCAGCAGAGCTCACCGCCGCAAAAAAGCAGCAACTCTCAGAGGCCCTCGTGCCTTCTTAGAAATTTGCCGAGCTTTCTCCGAACATAAAAAAACAGTCCCTCAGAAAGCGGGAAGGCTTCTGAGAAGACTAGCCGCCTCCTGAGAAGGCATGCCCCCTCTCACTTCCCCCCCGGGCTCGCCGCCGCGCTAGAAGCTGGCCCCGCCTTCCTGCCGACGCTCATCTGCTCACCTGCTCGCGTGTTGACTCCTCATACGCCCCTGGAGTCCTGAAATCACATTGGTCGTTCACAAAGGTCTGCGTGCAAACTGACACCCCTGGGCACGCCGCCGAGAAGAATCTATCTCGGCGGCGAGCCCAGGGGTGTCAGATCTTCCTGCCGCCCCTTTCATACTGCCGCCTTGTCAAAGTCCCTTAACTCGGTTAGAAGCCGACCCCCCATTTTCCTGCCGACGCCGCCGATCTCAGGCCACCTCCTGAGGCGCGGCCCGCGCGGACAGCGACGCGGCCAGCGCGCCGAGCCCCGCCGCGGCGGCCAGCGCCGGCGCGCTCCTGCCGCCGGGGCCTGCTGGCGCGCGGGGTCGCTCTGCGGCGGCAGTCCCAGAATGGTGCCGTGACGGACCCTGAAAGTGGGAACCACGAGATCCAGGCGTTGCAGTGTCTCAAAACGGGCCATTTGCCATTAGTTGAAATCCTAAGACCTTCACAAATCAACCTGGCTCCCCAAAAATTATCCTGGCGAAAGACCCGACCATATGCAGTTGTGGGTACCGCAATCGTGAACATCCTCTTTTGTGAAGCTCCCTATGGGGCCACCAAGCGCTGCGCTGGGTGGGGGGGAGAGCATGCGGGCGGTAGCACCGGTGGAGCTCCCTATGGGGCCACGAAGCGCTGTACTGGGTGGGTGAAAATGCAATGCCAAATTGGGCGTGTGGGACGCATGCGGGCGGTCCCACTGGGGGCTTCGGTGGCGCTCCCTATGGGGCCACGAAGCGCTGTACTGGGTGAGTGAAAGTGCCAAACAGGGTGTGGGACGCATGCGGGCGGTCCCACTGTGGTCGCCGCTGTAGCTCCCATGGGGCCACGAAGCGACGTATTGGGTAGGTGAAAGTTGGGTGTGTGGGACGCACGCGGGCGGTCCCAGTGGGGGCGTCGGTGGAGCTCCCTATGGGGCCACGAAGCGCTGTACTCAGTGAGCGAAAATGCCAAATTGGGCGTGTAGGACGCATGTGGGCGGTCCAGCTCCCTATGAGGCCACGAACCGCTGTACTGGGTGAGTGAAAATGCAAATTGGGCGTGTGGGACGCATGCGGGCGGCCTCACTGGGGGCTTCGGTGGAGCTCCCTATGGGGCCACGAAGCGCTGTTCTGGGTGGATGAGAATGCCAATGCCATGCGTCCCAGACGGTCCCAGTGGGGGCTTCGGTGGGGCCCCCTTTATGGGGCCACGAAGCGCTGTGTTCGGTGAGGCTCCCTATGGGGCCACGAAACAGTGTACTAGGTGAGTTGTTTATATATATATATATATATATGTAGATCAAAAATTGATGCGTCCGGGACGGTCACGCCAGGGGCTTCGGTGGTGCTCCCTATGGGGCCACGAAGCGCTGTACTGGGTGGCTGAAAATGCCAAATTCATGCGTTCCGGATGGTCCCGCTAAGGGCTTCGGTGGAGCTCCCTATATGGCCACGAAACGCGACACTGGGTGAGGGCAAATGCCAAATTCATGCGTCCCCGACGGTCTCACTGGGGGATTCGGTGGAGCTCCCTATGTGTACTGGGTGGGTGACAATGAAATATTCACGCGTCCTGGACGGTCTCACAAGGGGCTTCGGTGAAGCTCCCTATGGGGCCACGAAGCGCTGTACTGGGTGGATGAAGATGCCAAGGTCATGCATCCTGGATGGTCCCACTGGGGGCTTCGGTGGAGCTCCCTATGGGGCCACGAAACGCTGTACTGGGTGAGTGAAAATGCCAAATTCATGCGTCCCCGACGGTAGCATTGGGGGCTTCGGTGGAGTTCCCTATGTGTACTGGGTGGGTGGAAAATAAAAATTCATGCGCCCCGGACGAACTCACAGGGGGCTTCGGTGAAGCTCTCTATGTGGCTACGTAGCGCTGTACTGGGTGGGTGGAAATGCCAAATCTACGCGTCCCGGACGTTCGCACGGGGGGCTTCGGTGGAGCTCCCTATGGGGCCACGAAGCGCTGTACTGGGTTGGTGGAACGCAGGCAGGAGGGAGGAGGGGGAGGAGGCGGAGGAAGGAAGGAGAAAGAAGGAACGCGGGGACCGTCTCTTCAAAACGAGGACCCAACACTAAAAATGGTTGGGAATGACGGAGAAAGATGGGGTTCAGGGTTCCGGAAACATGCTTCAAGATGTTGCAATTGTTTCGTGACGTCGGATCTCAGGGTCACCGCGCGGTCTGGCACCGCACTGTTTCGAACCCCCGAAGCATCCTCGGAGAACGACCCGAGACCCGGCCGCCCCCGATCCCAACTGACCCACTACATGGTGTGGTCACCGCAGCCCCCCCGTCGTTGGGGGACCCCCCGAGCGGTAGCAGGCTGGGCCAGGTATCAGACCCAGACTTCCTCGCGCTGCGGAACAAAAGCGAATTGGACGGTTTTCGACAGTTTCGGCCTCAGGAGGTCCTTGCTGGGACCTGGGACCGTCAGACATGGAGGCCTCTGAAATGTTGCCCGAAGAGATGGGGTTCGAGGATCGTGCCGCATCGCTAATACATCGCCGATGCAGTGGCAACGTGGACGTGAATGTCGGGCTCCACATCAAGCCGCATCGCCGATGCATCGGCGATGCGGTGCGATCCTCCGACTCAGCCTACAGTCAGCCTGTATTGTAAAGACGCAAGAGAGAGCTGCAAGGGCCTTGGAAGGCCGTGTCGCGAGCGGGGCCAATCGCCCATCCTTACTGTGCGGGTTCACCGCTCTCCGACCCCATGTGTGGCCTGGAGCAAACATCTGGGATGATAAACCAGTCGGGAGGAATGGGTCCAGACCTCAGGGGATCCGCGCAGCGAAAACCCACGACGCTGGACTTCTGGCGAGCTGCTGGCGGTGCGGCTCCTCTCGCAGTGGATCTGTTTGAGCATCGTTCAAACGATCTTCATCACCACTGGCGTGACCTGGGCCCCACTGGCCGGTAATCCCCTCTGGATGGGAATATTGGAAACGGCACTTTCTTCCGCTGCTGGCACAGGGGGTGAACCCCCCCCCCGGGAAAATTAGCGCGGGGGTCCAGACCCCCCCCGCTCCGCCGGGGCATCTTAGTGGGGGGGGTCCAGATGCCCCCCCCGGGAAAACCGCCCTAGCAACGACGACGACGACGACGACGATCACATGCGACGCGCGACGCACAACAGCGACGACGACGACGACGACGACGACGACGGCTATGCCAACGACGACGCCGACGCTAATGCAAACGCCGACGACAGCGAGAACGACGGCGGCAAGGACGAGGACGAAGACGAGGACGAGGACGACGACATCGACGTTGACGACGGAGACGCCGACTCGGACGACGACGACGCCGTCGACGACACTAGCAACGACGACGACGAAAACGAAGACGACGACGAGCAGAGTAGAGTAGGCGTGGAATGTAATCCAAAAGAGTAGAGGCCAGAGTCGAGTCGAGTGAAGTATGGAGGGATACAGTAGGGTCGTCGGGTAGAGCAGGATAGAGAAGACTGAGGATGGGAGGTGTAGGTAAGATAAGAGAGGAATCTACCCGAGTATCGAGAGTCGTCGCTTGGTGGAGTCAACAACGATACGTGTCAAAGAACGCCATTGCGGGCCGCTCGCGCCCGTCGGCGGCGCGTGCGCGTCGCAATCCTGTAAACCTTCCTCACCGACACGAAGGCACCATCATCGTCACCAGTGTGATCTCCATCGGCCCCGTCATTTACATTGCCGTCGTCATTGTCATCGTCGTCGCCAGCACCGCTACTATCATCATCGTGTCTGCCGTTGTCGACGTCGCCATGATACCGCGCCAGAGCCACCGACTCGCTCTGAAGTGACCGCGCGTCAGCGCGGCATGCGAGACGCGCTTGGGAGCCCCCAGAATTCAGCGCCACCGCGGCCGCGTCGATCGCGCCAGACTAGCTTGCCGCTCTGCACGCGAGCCTGCGTGCGCTAGCGAGGCCGCAGCGATGCGCCAACCAGCGCCACGCAGCTATCGCAATCGCCGCCGCATGGGTTTTGCAAGCCAAGTTGCTGGTGGGTGGATGGAATTATTGCGCGAGCAGTGGAGTTGACAACTTCAAGTTCGACAGGGCGAACTGCACCACACAGATTGCACAACATACATTGCACAACGAAGATTGCACCACGCTGCTGGCACCACAAAGAAGGCACCGCACATGCTGCACACATATGATCACACAACAGCTGTTGCAGCACACTTGTACGCATGCAGGTGTGTCTGCGTGTTTGTATGTATATATATATATATATATATAGATGTATGTATGTGTGTATGGATGTATGTGTGTACGTACGTGCGTGCGTGCGTGCGTGCGTGCGTACGTACGTATGCGTGTATGTATATGTGTGTATGTATATGTATATGTATATGTATATGTTTATGTGTGTATGTATAGGTATATGTATAGGTATAGTTATAGGTATATGTATATGTATATGTACATGTACATGTACATGTATATGCACATGTATATGTATGTGTATATGTATTTGTATATGTGTACATATGTATGTGTGTATGCATGCATGTATGTATGTATGTATGGATGGATGTATGGACGTATGCATGTATGTATGTATGTATGTATGTATGTGTATGCAGTTACACACACATATATATACAGTTATACAAGTTCACATCGAAAACACAACATGTGCTGCTCCGCATACATTGTTCGAAACAAACTAGTTCGAACCCACGCTGTCTACCATGTTGTTCTTCAAACGTTATCCATACGCGGTTCCCAAAGTCCCGATCCGTTCCCGAGGGCCGAGCTCTCATCCCGCATCATTTGATGACGGTCCCGCGGCCTAGCGAGGTCGCCCAGAGCCAAAGAGGGCAAAAACCTCCGTCTGGACTTTTGTCAAAACGTTGCACGTATGGGTTTCCCCCCCTGAGATCTGCCTTTAAGGCGGCCGCGGAGTCTGAACTGAAGGGGCCCCGAGAAAATCTGTCAAGGATAGAAAAGATAAAAAACAAATCTGCTCAAATTCGATCCTGGGACCCCTCCCGGGATCCATCTGGTGGAGTTTTGCACCCCAGAGAAGTTTTTCACGGTACCAGGGCCCGAAAACGGTACTGGGAGACCGAGAAAGGCAAAAAACCTGCTCAAATCCAGAACCTCGAATCTTGCCCTCCAATTCTTGCTCGCGGGCAGCAGTGCTGGGCCACCTCAGACCCCCAACCAGCTCGCGACGGGCCGCCTGGCGCCGACACGTCCGCGCCCGCCGCGAGTAGCGCCCAGCACACGCCCTCGTGGCCGTTGGCGGCCGCCGCGTGCAGCGGGCCCGCGCCAGTGGAGCCCTGGCGCGCGGAGGTTGGCTGCGGCCGGCCTCTGCCCAGGCCGTGCGAGCGGCGAAACGAAGCGGGCCTTACGCGGGCAGGGTCGGTGATTCACTGACCCGGGTCCATGTAAGCCAGGGTCGGTCAGGCCTTGCAGGATCCTGCAGCATGCTGCAGGATCCTGCGCCCCAATCTGGGGCAGGGCAAACATGGCTCTTCAATATCCTGCAAGATGTGGCGCCCTGGCCGGCTCCCCGTTTGCATGTTTTTTTGTTCAGATCGCTGGCTCTTGCTAAAGAGCCGTCTGATGTCCGCGAACCGCAGTGCCTGCCAGCCACGATCGCCACGTTCTCGGGCGTCACCTCCTTCCCGATGAACGCAGCCAGCTGCGCGGACTCGAGGCGTAAAGTGTCTTGCAGCCACGCCACGCGGCCGAGATCCAGGATGCGCTTGCTCATCACACCCACCCTCCGCTTGGACAGGTCTCGCCCACCTACGCCCCAGCCGGCCGTGGACACGAAGTGGCCGAAGCTGGCGGCGTCCCCGCAGAGGCCTAGCCTCTGAAGAAACTGCATGTTCACGTAGCTGGCGGCGTCGCAGCGGTGGTGGCAACACGTTGCTATACAAACCGCTGTCTCTAAGCCGCCGTGCTCGAGCACCGCGGTGAGAGACTGCAAAGCGACGTCCATCCCGCTGCCACACAAGTGCTTTGCGCAAACCAGCAGCTCGGGGGGCGGCCAGGGCGGCGCCGACACGGACGCGGCCAGCAGCCGCTGGGCCTCCAGCCGCTCCTGTGTCTTCTGGCAGTTCGAGAAGCCCGCGCCCGCCAGCGGAGGCGGCCCGCAGGCTCCCTGGAGCAGGGCCGAGAGGTCGAAGTCCTCGATGTCCAGGCGCAGGCGGAGGAGCGCCTGCTCTTCCTTGTTGTCGCGCCTGTTCTCGCTTTTGTGCCGGTGGTTCTTCCGGTCCACCAAGACACAGCGCGACTGGGTACGCTGGGGCCGGATAGCCGCCATCAAGCCTCCCCGGCCGCAGCCGTACTCGACCAGCAGCGCCCCGCGGGCTGTGCCCGCCCCAGAGGCCAACTCCGCCAGCGCTGCGTTCTGCACCTCGTGCTTCTACGAAGGGCCCACCTGCTCGTGGCACTCCCCGGTGACCGGCAGCTCGAATAGTACGACAGGATCCACCGATGGCCCAAGAACTTCACGCACCGCTTTGGGGTACGCGTCGGAGATGCGCCAGTCCCAGTCCTCTACTACTTCCGCGGCCGCGTACTTCACGCCCTCTAGGGCATTTCCAGGTTGACCTCCTTCTAAGCAGCTGCCGCCTCGAAAATTTACCCCGTTCCTGAAGAACGGCTGAAGCAGCAAGAAACTGCCGTCGCGGAGCTTCGGGCACACCTTTAGGTGCGACTCCAGCCGATTCCTGTCCACCGCGTGGCTCGGGTCCAGGGGGCACGGGATCCGCTCACTCGCGCAGGCGCCCGCGCCGCCGTCTGCTGCGAGGTGGGTCTTGCAGCACGCTTGGCCGGCGGCGGCCGAGAAGCGGCACTGCTTCTTCCCCCGCCCGGCGGAGCGCCAAGCGCACTGCGGCGGCGGCGGGTGCTCCGTGCCAGCAGCGGCCCACTTGCGGCTGGGCGCCGCGCTGCCGCCTGCGCCGCCGTCGCGTGGCGCCTCGCCCGCCTCGACGGCCATCGGAGGGGGGGCCGCGGCGCCGCATCGCGCGCACGCTGCGGAGGCGCCTTGAGCCAAAATGGCTACGGAAGGCCCGCCGTTTGCATCAGTGACCCCCGTCCCTTGAGCCTGGGGGTACCAGCGCGGATCCAAGAGACCTGTCCGGGGGTCCAAGAGATTTTGCTATGTCTCATGAAGCTTCTGCTGTTCCACGGGACATGCTGTGCACGTTCCATCCCTCGGGCGTCCATTCCCCGTGCATTGTGCGGTTTCGCGCAAGTGCTGTTCCTCGAGATGCTGCAAGGTGACCCGAGATGGTCCAGATTCTCTGGCGCTGGCCTCGCCCAGCGCACACTTCCGAAAGATGGCAACTTGCGCTCGACGACAAAGCGACCTTACGCGGTGGCGCCGGCCGCCAGCGCGGCACGCAACATCGGCAACGCAATTGGTCACGCGCGACCTGCCCCGGAAAACTTACGCGCTCGTGCCCGCAATCGACTCCTTGGTCTTCCTTTACTCATATAACTGGCAAGATGCGGACGGGAATGCTGCCAAGATCGGGTTGGCTCTGGATGCGTTCCACATGGAGTACCATGTGGGACCTGCTCTAAGCAGCAACATACCGTACACGGATCGACCCTTTCTCCGACCTTGTATTGCGACGAACGCAGCGGCCGCGTTGTCTATAAACGCATCCACACCGAATGTGTCTGTAGACATAACGACAGCCGGAGTGACCGCAAACGCTTGCGGATAAAACGTGAGAGCGGTGCTCGGACTACGCCCGAGAATTTTGCGTTCTAGAAGCAGGTCGACAAGGCCCTCCAACGCGCCAGGACTTCCAAGGTACCTGGCGGCGTTCGTTTCTGCAGCCCGCGTCTCACCATAGGAAGTCGACGAAGTCCTTGAAAGCGTGAAGTGGCAAATCTCGTGACCATGACTTGTTGCACACGTGAGGCATGGCGACCCCAATCCCCGATTTCCTGGGCCTTCCGACCAAGAATTGGGAACGAAACTCCATCCTCGGTCCGCACAGCCCGCTGGGGGTGTATCCATGAATCCCCCTTTTCTGAGCGGCCATTTTTTCTGGTAGAACTCTGGATCGAGGTAGAACAATCGCCGGCGACCGTAGCTAGAGGAACGCGAGAATACTGTATGAACCGAAACTTCAGAAGCTCCACGCGGACTTCGTGTATCGGCGCCAGGCCCCCCTCCCAGGCGTACGGAGCGCGCCAGGGGCGGCGCCGAAGGCGCCGCGAGGGGGGCCAACATGGGCTGCTGGCTAACGGCGGAGCTGAAAGCGGCAAACACTTTTCCATCCAGCGAAGCCCAGTGGCACAGGAGGACACAGAGGAGGTGGAGGAGGAGGACCAACAGGAGGAGGAGGAGGACCAAGAGGAGGAGGAGGAGGAGGAGGAGGAGGAGGAGGAGGAGGAGGAGGAGGAGAAGGAGGAGGGGGAGGGGGAAGGCAAGGGGGAAAAAAACGCGACCTCCGGAAAGGGCGCAGCGTAACGGCGGCACGCCGGACCGGACCGACCGAGCGCAGCCGATTGCGACGCGGCCGAGACGACCGAGCAGCGGACTTCCTGCCGAGATTTGCTCGAGGTCACAAGGCAACGGGAATGTTCTCGTCATTTCGGCCTCCTGGGCCCTCCCTGGGCATCGAGATTGACAACAAAACAGATCTCGGGGTGAACAACGGGTTCCTGCGGAACAGGTCCAGACTTCCTGGGACCCCATATGGAACACGAACTAAGGCATCGCTTGTCGGGTTGCTTGGTTCCCCACTGGCCCCTGCGGCGCGCCGAGGTGGGAAGTGAGAGGGGCAGGCCTCCTCAGACGGCGCCAGGGTCTCGGGGAAGGCTCGACCTCGGACAAAATCAGCAGAGCGCCAGCAGCCTTGTGAGCAGCCTGAGAAGGCCCGCCATCTCTGCCTTCGAACCCCCTGGGCGCGCGGCCGACGGCCGCCCCTCACAGACCTGGACTTGGAGCAGTAGGCCGTGGGCAGACCATGGACAAGCATGCAGCATGCGCATCAGTAGTTACGTCCTGATGCTCAGCCAACGGGGGCCACAGGCATCTGCGCTTCTGGCAGCGCGTGCCCGGCCAGGAACTTGCAGTCGTCCTGGCCGCTCCCACTGCAGCCGAAGAAGTCGGCTGCACGAAAAAGCGGCCCTGGGCAAACGGCTTTGGGGGGTCGCCGGGGGGCCAAGTCCGAGCGCGCTCGCCTGAGCTTCGGTGCCCGGTGCCCTATGGGGCATAGGGCAGCACCCCCACCATAACGTGGGCCAGGAACAGGAGCCCACTCGCCGAAAGCCCTGGGCCACACGGAGGAGGCCAGAGAGGCCGACGCCCCACGGAGAAGCCCCCCGCTTCCAAGCCCGAGGCGTTCCATCAAACCCAGGGCAGTGGCTACACCTCGTGCCAGCTGCTGTGCGTACTTTACGGCTGGGCTCGTGAAGTATCCTGGGCCTGTCCAGCGATGAGCGCCCAATCGTAGACCCAACCGTTGTCAACGATCCGAAGTGTTTGACTCTCCTTGGCTGAGGCTCATCCCAGGTTTTCGCGAATATTGCACCCCTCGGGCCTTGGCACGCCAGCTGTGGGGACGGCGAGCATTTGGGACCATGCCCGACAGCGCATGCTGTCCACAACCGGCAGCAGCTGATGCTGGGCAGAGGAGGCTTGTACCAAATGGACAACGTCCGCGACGACACAAACGGCGAAGTCTTGTTCGCGATGAACAGGAAAATGGGAAACGGCAAAACATAGAAGCAGACATGTTTGGAGGACTGGGCGGATTTAGATTGGCGCTGGAGCCCCCTCCTTGGCGCGCGAAGGGGCCTAGCGCCGCTCCAAGAAATCTGCGGCGCGGACCTCCGAAAGTGCAAGGTGTCCATGGCCCAAGGTGTCTGCAGGATTCCCAGAGATACCTCACGTCCTCCAGAGCACTCCAGATAGGACCAGCGGGCCCCAGATTCCACAGAGTGACGCGCAAAGCTGGGGGCACCTTGGGCCAAGAAACGCCCTTGGTAGCCCCCGAACCTGAGCTGAATGCACACGTGGCCTGGGCGCCCAGGAGCAAACAATGCAGAAAGTCTACGCATGTTTCGGCGTCTGGGTGCCGTTTGCGATGGTTCTTGATTTTCCGCGAGGGGGAGGGCAACCTCATGTGACAAACGGGGGGGAAGGGCAAGGGGTCGGAGACCAGGCCAGGGCCGAGGACGAGGACAACCACCACAACCACGACGGCGGCGACGACAAAGACGTCAGCCGAGTCCTGGAGAGCCGCCGCCATTCCCGCCGTCGACTGGCACAAAGAAAACGGATCCTGACGGAAACGGGTCCTGGACCCTGGGGCCTTTCCACCGGCGCCAGCGTTCCACCCCGAAGTCGTTTCTCGACAGCCCCTGGGCGCCCGAGATCGGCGAACAGCCTCTGGGACCCGTTCCCCTCAGGGCCCGCTTCTGGGACAACGAAACAAATACAGATACCACCACTCCCCAGACCTCTCACGTGAAACGTTCTCACCAGGAGAAGGCCTCACAGGAGGCGAATCAACGCCAAAACGAGGGAGAGGAACCCAACAACTACATCAGCATAGGCTCTCTGAGATCCGCGCGAAATTCTGGGATCGACGCTGGACCCTCATCACTGGCGCGCGGAGCGTGCCACGGGTCGACGCCGTCGCCCTCGCCCCCGCCGCTAGCCGGGGCGGGCGCTGAGCTCGGAGGGCGCCTGCTCGTCGACGTCCGCGCGCGCCTCCAGCAGCGTCGCGCAGACGGCGGCATGGCCGGCTCCCGCGGCCAATAGAAGCGCCGTCTTCCCACTGCCCTGGCAGGCGGGCCACACACCGGGTCGAGGAATCGAATCGGCAGGCATCAGCAGGAAAACGGCTGTACCATACGAACCGGCAACCGGCATATCAGAACCAAATCGAAACGGGAACCGGCAGGACACACGCTGGATCGGCAGCGAAATCGAGACGATGACGCATCGAAATCGGAGCCCTCGGCGACTGCGAGGAGAGGCTGGAAGGGGACTGGCTCCCTATGGAGCCATGAAACGTGAGAGGGGCATGCATGATGGACCCGAGTAACAATGCGGACTTTGCCACTGGACCCTTCGGCGGAGCTCCGTATGAAACACGAAACGTGTGAGGGGTGTGCCAAAATGGGCTACAGTAACCATGTGGACCCTGCCACTGGGGCCTTCGGCGGAACTCCCCACGGGGGGCACGAAACGTGTGAGGGGTGTGCAAGAATGGACCCAGGGCAACCATGCGGACCCTGCCACTGGTGACTTCGGCGGGGCTCCCAACGGAGCCACGAGACGTGTGAGGGTTGTGCCAGCATGGACCCGAGTAAACATGCGGACCATGTCACCGAGGCCTTCGGTGGAACTTCTTATGGGGGCATGAAACGCATGATATATGGCGAAACAGTGATGTGAATGATGATGGCAGTCACGAGTATGAAGGCAAATATGCTGACGACGACGGTGATGGCGACGGTGACAAGGATGAAGATTCTCCCGCACGCAGCGCAAGCGATCAGGTCCCGGAGGCGGGCGCGCGGCGCGCGCGCGGCGACCCGTAAAGGATGACGGGGCGCCGCGCCCAAGCCGTGCGGCGCCCTCAGACGACCTCGTCCAACGAGGCCATCTGGACGGCCAGGTGGCCGTAGCAGCGCCGCAGGCCTGCCTGAGTAAGGCGGGGAGGGGGGGAGGGGGCCGAGAAGCTGCAGGACCTGAACGGGCGCGAGCGGCAAGGAGAATAGAGAAGCGCATTCTCCCGCACGCAGCGCAAGCGATCAGGTCCCGGAGGCGGGCGCGCGGCGCGCGCGCGGCGACCCGTAAAGGATGACGGGGCGCCGCGCCCAAGCCGTGCGGCGCCCTCAGACGACCTCGTCCAACGAGGCCATCTGGACGGCCAGGTGGCCGTAGCAGCCATACCCAGGCTCAAAGCCCTTGCGAAGTGACAAGGTTTTGGCGGGCGGCCGCGAGCAGAAGGGGCCACGCAGTGGGGCCACAGTTCAGAAAGGAAGCGACAAGGAAGTCGCTCGCGCCATCGAAGTAGGTGACACGGGCCCGAGCGGCATCAGGCAAGGCGGAAAGCATCGCGGCGGAAGCATCGTCGTGCAAGAAGCGCTCCGCGCTAGACGCCTGGCGCCAGCGACTACGCCAGAAGATACGACCAATATCTTCTGTGGCCGTATGAAAGTCTGTCGCGCCTGAGCCGCGGGGGCAAGCAGGGGTCAAGTGGAACCCCGCTGGCGTCTCGGCGAGCGGTACGCCTAACGCCAAAAGTAAATGGTTCCACCGAGTACGGAAGCCGCTTTGACCAAAGGTCGACAGAGGATCGGTGGGACCCAAATGCCGAAAGACCATCTCCAAAACCCGAACCACCGCTTTGTCAGAGCACCAGGCGTGCTGTGGCGGGTAAGACATGCTGCTCACTGGATCGGGAATGGTCATCCAAGCGTTGCCTGAGGACTCAAGGCAATCCGAAGGCAACAAAAGGTCACAGCGACGGGCTGACAGCAGCTCGTCGGGCTTCAAGGACATCGTGAACCCTGCCAGCAGCAAGGCGGCCATGACTGGCCAGTCCCAAGTGAAACAAACTGCCACCATAGCGCGCAAGAGCGCTCGTGGCATTGGCGGCCGAAGGCGAGGTGGCTGAGACCGCTTCCAGGCCCTCGCCACTCCCCACGCCTCGGTGAGAAAGGGCTTCCAATGAGGGAGACGTGCCTGGACGCCTATGATCGCGTGCACCAGGATGTTGAGCGGGAAACCTGCGTCGTGCAGCCACACGCCGAACGTTGCGAGGAACCTCGACAGCAGGATCCCACTACGATACAGCGGAAGTGGCGCCACCCCTGCGTCCTCGGCGCACCACAATTCGAACGCGTAGAGAGCTCTTTTGCGCCGATCGCCGGCCGAAGTCAGAACAGCGCCTGACCAGGGAGCGCTGGGAGGCTCCGTCTCTGCCGCCCTGCGGCGGCGGCGGCGCGCGGGGTGGGGGACTCGCCGAGGCCAGGCAAGGGTGGCACTCTCGTCGCGATGCCGCGCCGGCTCAGCCTCGCTGTGCAAGCCCGTACCAACCCTGGCCTCCGCCTCGGCGGCGCTGTCCACCTCCGCGAGGGCAGTTGGCGCTGCCACAGGCGAGGGCGAGTACGCCGCCGCCTCAGGGAATCCAGCGGAGGCGGCCTCTCTGACGCAATCAGCAAGACGAGAGCGGGCGATGCGCATCGCATCCTTGCGCCGCTCGAGCTCGGCTAAGAGCGTCTGCATTCGCTTCGCCAGCTCTCCCGCGCTCTCGCCAGTCTCTTCGCCTGTTCCCAGCATAACCTCGGTGAGAGCGGCCTCGGCAGCGGCGACCGAGGATAGGAATCGCGCGCGAGCGCGCCGGTCGGCACGCGCGCGCCGCGCAACCGCGGCCGCTGGGCCAGCGACTCGGCTGGTGCGCATCGCAACCGAGGTAGCGCACGCCCCGTCTTGGGGCAGGCCTCGAGCCGCGCGCGCAGAGGGCTCCAAGGAGTCGAGAAGGTGTGGCGCAGCCGCCAACGCGTCTGAGCCCTTCTCGTGCGCGGCTCCGCTAGGTTGGGGGAGATCCGCGCTATCAACGGGCGAGTCCACCGACAGAAGTGCGGCGCGAGGCGCGGCCGCGGGGCCAAGAGACCTCGGACTGGCCCCGGCACGGGGTGCGGCCTCAAGCATGGCGAAGGAGGCGGCGGCGGGCCCCGAGGCCGCGGGTATGCGCGCAAGCGCGTTCGGCCGCAATCGATCCGCAGGAACCCGCATGGGTGCACCGTCGACGCGTAATGCTGGTGGCGCACTGGCGGCGCGAGCAGGAGGGCCCATGCTGATCCTGGCGCCCCGCGCCGAGAATGCGCCAACCGGCAAGCTCCCGGAGCTCGCCGAGCCGGTGACCGTGGGCGGGTCGCGAGCTCCGGAAGCGAGGTCGCAAGCGGGGTCGCTGCCGGAGCCGCGCGGCGGCGGAGCGGCCGCGAAGCGGGCGGCTGGGCCAGCCGAGCGGGTGCTCGCGCGAGCGCCCCGCGGCGGCGGTGCGCGGCGAGAGCCCCGCGGCGACGCCACTGGCGGCGCGTCCTGCGAGTCCGACTGGCGTCGCGGGGCGCGGTCGGAAAAAGTATGCGGAACGCGGGCGCCGTCCCCCGGCGCAAGCGGCGCGTCGCGCCACTTCGAGGTGCTGCCGAGCCGGGCGCTGCTGGAGGGGGCACCGGGCGCGCCTGCTCCAAGGCCCGGGCTCCAGGAGCGCGAAGGCAAAGGCTCACGCCCCTCGTCCGCCGACGCGGCGGCGCGATGGCGCGCGCAAGGCTGGCCCCACAGCGCGAAATTGGCAGTGCGCCTGGCCCTACGACCCGGGGGCGGCGCGGCCGCGCCAGGCGCCGAGAGCAGCGCCGCGGGCGCACGAGCAGCGCGCGCACGACGGGGGCGCTCAGCGCGAACCGTTTCCGCTGGACGAGCTGGCCGATGGCGCCTTCCGCGCGAAGAGCAGGGCGCCGAGGGAGTCCCAGAGGCGGAGGCCCCGAAATCCGGCCGTGCTCCGCCCAGCTCGGGCTGCAAGCACTGGCAGGCGCCGGCGGCGCGCCCGTCTGGCCACGGCCGCGCTCTTGCATATAGGCGCGGGCCCGCACGAACGCCTCCGCGGCAAGTCCCGTGCTCCCGTTCCTGGCAAGGTAGGGTTCCCGCTCCCGGCTGGCAACGAGAAGCCTCGCCAAGCAGGAGCGACTTCGCGTCGCAGAACCTGGGACCAGAGGGGAGAGGCGTCCGCGCGGTCCGATGCGGACAATGGGCGATGGCGCGCCCTGTCCGGGCGGTGCGGCGTGGCCAACCGCCGGAACTGGCGTTCCATGGCCGACCGGTCGGCACCCGGTTTGAGCTGAAGGAGCTCGCGCGCCGTCCGCACCTTTGCAACCTTGGCGGGTCGCTTGGGATCGGTCCGGGCGGCGAGCCTCGGCCTGGCCGCCGAAAGCTGGGCGGGCGCGCCGGGCGGGCCAGCGGCAACCCTGAGGTCCTGTCCGGCTCAAAAACAGCTGTTAACATAGTACGGCTAAAAAATAGCTGTCCACCTAAAAAATAGTTGTCGGTGTTGTTTGCTTATGTTAAACTATAAAAACTTAGAATTGTTCTGATGTTAGCTCAAACTCTTGAACTATGTTAGTTATCGTGATGTTTTCTTTTGCGCGCGTGTAGTTTATTGTGCTACTGTTCCTGCCCGCCTTTGTTCCACCCAAAAAGGTTCGGAGGCGGAGGGATATAAATATATATAGAGGCGAGAAGGAGGAAGAGGAGGAGGGGGAGGGGAAAGAGGAGGAATAACATACTGCTAATGAGCATGATGAGCAGAAGGAACCATAGTAGTGCTGTAAGCTCACACCAGCAATCACACGCGCACCCCACGCCCGTCACATGAATTTGCACGTCAGCCGTGTCTGTGTAAATTGTGAGGAAGTATCGAGCCGCTCTCGCCGTCGCGTGAGATGCGACGAAACGCTGAGCAGCATTTGGCCCTGAGGGCCGCGGGAGGTATATCATGCCCTTCGTCTTTCGCGGGCTTTGAGAGCTCAGCAGCGCGTTCCCCGTGCGAAGCCGCAGCCATTTTGGCTCAATATGACTTCTTCTCAGGAGAAAGCCACTCGGGCTTCGTCGACCGCCACGCAGGAAACACTTGAGTTGATAGTGGCCAAACATGTGGTAGATTCCGACTCGCTGAAGTCGTACACGACTCAGATGGACGGGCCCTTGGATGTGAAAATCATTGAGGCCCACGCTGGCCTCATTTTGGCCCTCAGGGCCGCGTCACCACATGGCGG